AAGTTTGACTTTTCAATATACAGTCAAAATTGATCAATTGACTGGGAAATTCAACTGTCAATCTTGTGCATTTGGGATCTTTTGAACTTGTTGAGCATGTCAAGACAATTACATGGGGTCCTTGAGTCCATATGTGAGCTTGGTTTGCCATTGGCTAGGTCAAACAGTCAAAAATTGCCTTTGTGCAGTCAAAACCCTAAAAATGACCATTTTGCCCTTTTGGTGATCTGATCAAATTTCTTGTGGAATTGTGATCCAAACTTGATCAAATGGTCCATGTGAGTTCATAATGTTGATGTGGGTCAATTTTCATGAGATTTGACTGTCAATTGGCCACAGTTGACTTTTTCCCCAATACAGCTGATTTCTAGGTCAACTGTCCAATTGATTGGGCAAAACTTGGAATCAAGACTTGAAACTTGGTATGGATAAACTTGGGAGTCCAATATGAAGCATGAAAGTCATCTTAGGCAATTTTGGTCAAAACATCTTTGTGCAAACACAAACCCTAATTTGGGTCAACAGTGCAAGGAGAAGTCTTGAGCAGATGAAACCCTAACTGGATCTTGAGCTTCAAGGGCTTTGTGATGAGAAATCATTGAGAGATGGGAGGGCAAATTTTGGGGTACAACACTCAACTTCATGCTCTTGAATCTCCTAGCTCAAATATGATAAATTCATGCTCTTTGATGTTTGGGAAAGCTTGAAACACCCTCTACAACTTTCATGTTGACCACTTTTGTTAAATCAAACTGGAACTTGATGAAAATTGGCCAAGAAGTTGGGACAAAAAACCTGACCAAAACTGCTGAAAATTTCTAAGTGTTAAATAAAAATGTCACCACTTCCTGAATTTTTAACTTGAAATCCAAGCATATTTAGGAGAAGTTGTGTAAATAAATGTTGTAGATATCATGGATATTATAACTTTCATGTTGGAAGTTTCTCTTGAATCATCTTGCATCATAGTGAAAATTTTGCTCAAAGTTATGAAAAAACATGAAATTTTCAACACTTAGAAAAATTTCTAAGTTTAGAAATTTTGACTTTTCAAAATGAAATCTTGACTTTTTGATTTCTTGATGAATAAGTTTCATATTTTGACATGTTTTGATGAATTATGATCTTTGGCACTTGAATTTGACCAAAGAGTCAAAGTTTGACTTTTCAGTATACAGTTGACTTTTGATCAGTTGATTGCAAAATTCATTTGTCAATCCAATGGACTTGCAATGTTTTGAACCATGTTATTAGGTAAAATGATGCAATTTAACTCTTGAGATCATGACTTAAAACAATTGATCATTTTCTAGGTCAAAAATCAGAAATTGCCCTTTCCCAATCAAAACCCTAATTTTGACCATTTTGCCCTTTTGAAGATTTGATCAAATTTCTTGAGGAATTATGGTCCAAACTTGATAAAATGATACCTATGAGTTTGAAATGTTGATGTGGATAAAAAATTATTAAGTTTGACTTTAAATTGGCTATGGTTGACTTTTCCCCAATACAGTTGATTTTTAGGTCAACTGCCCAATTGACTGATCAAGAATGTGATCCAAGGCTTGAAACTTGGCATGAGTAACCTTGGGGGTCCATAATGATCCATGGAAATCATATGAAACATTGATAGTCTAAAAATCCTTGTGAAAACTCAAACCCTAATTTTGGTCATTAGTGTATGAGGAGGTGTCTTGAGCTGGTCAAACCCTAATGTAGTCTTGAGTCCAAGAGATCTTGTGAGAAAATTCTTGATAAGTGAGAGGGAAAATTTTGGGGTACAAAAATAGGGACAAAAAATATTTGTAGAAAGGTGCCACTTTTAATGAAATAAAAACTTAAACTGGGCTGTTGGGATTCGAAACATGTATCTTGAATTAGTTTACCCCTCGATTTTCAACTAAAATCGATGGAATAGATTTTTTTAGAAAGAAAAAATATGGTGTGTGCATGTATTTTATCCTGGTTTTTCGTTACATGAGGTGAAACCGTTTCCATAAAATATATTATTTATAGTAGTGACACCTTCCATATTTTGTCCAATAGAGGTTGGAGATCAAATGCCTCTAGTTCGTCCATCATATATGGCCCTTGTTGGCGTTGTTGGATATGGTGAACATTATATTCCAAAGTTTTGTTCTGATATTGAATGTCATGGTGGCATAAATCTTTATTAAGACGCCTTCCTTATTGTCATAGTCTTTGCTTGTCGCTATAACTGTCTTTTTATTCACCGTGATGACAGGTGAATGCAAAGATAATACTTTGGTTGAACATAGTGAAAGAGGTCTGTGTTAGTTTTACAGGGCTTCACAGTGGGCGCCAATTGTACTTTATGTAAGTACAATGAGTGAGATAACCCCTAGTAGATACGGGTTATTATAGGCTTTAGGATTTGTTGAGAATATAGTTATCTCACATGATGGAATGAAAAGCTTTGTATGAGTAGTTTCTCTCTTTGTTAGAGATTGGCCCCCCTTAGTATGATAATAACAATGTATTTATATACAAGGGAACTGAACTAAGTCTCCTATAATTCAAAAACCACTATAATCATGAGTGGTGGTTTTTTGACATCTAAGAGGTGCAATTAAGTCCCATAACTTCCTATATAGCGTCTGATGACCTATTAGATGCTCTATGTATGATTGCGTGTCATGGACGCGAAATCTAGAGATTTAGGTGACACATCTAGACAAGGGATACTTTAACCAAAATGAGGGCGCCTGAACTAACACAAAGGTGATTTGATAGGGTGAAGAGTGTTCCCCTCGCCTCACCTCTAAGCTTTTCTAAGTTATACCACTATCATAAGCACGTTGTCTAATATTTACACACTGGCATGACATTCCTTTTAACGAGACATATTACGTTGGACACTTAACAAAAATTTGCTAGTAGGATAAAACCTAACACCGGGGACATAAACCTAACACGAAAGAGAAAAGGAAAATTTTGAAAAGTAAAACCAAAATAAATAACTTCCTTAAAATAGGAAGGTTTTATACCAGAGTGTGTATTAAATAAACAAACCCCTTTATGCATTTTTATGCCTTTGTCTTGGAGATTGTTTATGTAAAAAATTCTTCACTTGTAATTGGATAATTTTGAAAATATTAAATAGTTGTTGCTTTTTATTCCTCAATAATATGTGTTATATGTTTAGTTTTCATAACATCTATATTCTTCTAGTTCTTTAATGTCTCTAAGTCATGAGTAATATTGAAATTTATATTATATCGATAATAATAACATTAGAATATGCACCTCTCATAAATGAAAGATCTCAAATATAGTTTTTATTTGTTACTAGATCACTCGAAGAATCAATAATACACATATATATTTTTTTATTACTTTGATGTTATTCATTTTGTTTACTGACTTAATCATTCATCAAATATTTAACATCTTCAACAAGACCAATATTGTGGATGTGCAAGGAGACCCATAACACAAGACTTCAAATAATTAGAGTCCCAGTTTTGTATTGGACTTTATAGAATGATAAAGAAATAGATAGTATATAACTATGTTTTTGAAAATAAATAATATGTAACATATAACCTAGCAGTAACAATGAAGTTTAGTGTATAAAAGCTCATTAGTTTAAGTCCATCTACAAGACATATGTACTTTTAATTATTTTAAAATGTCACATTTTATCATTTGTCTTGGATCTCCGTATATGTTCGGCCGACCTTGATTTTCAATATGTAGTGGAACTTGCACAAGAAGTGTTCCAGAAAGAATCCTTAGAGTTGATACTACTTCATGAACGTTTTCTGCTTACGACCTATATCTCACGTCATAGCCTTTTAATGACTATAAAAATAACTTTCTTAAGGATATGTTTAGTAATGAGTTTTTCCCAAGTATATTTTAGAGTAAACTATTCCTACACACACTTTTGTCTTAGAAAATCTTTCAAAGAATGATCAATTATTTGACAAAATTCATAAAACAATAGGAGTGTATCATATTATAAATAGGCAAAACCTCTTCTTCCTATCAAACGAGAGCCGTGTAAGAATTCAAAAGGTCAATCCACCATTATTATAACAAAATACTCAAAGTTTTTTTTTTGATACTAGTGGCTTTAATTTGATTAATATTAAAATTGTTGTTTAATTTGTCATGCAAACCATTCAAAGTGAGATTAGTATTATATTTCATCAACATTGATCTTTCATGAAGGAAAGTTATGCAATGATCAACCTCAACAACATAATTTGATTTCAAAACTGTAATAACAACCACATCACATTTAAAACATGGTGTAAGTAATTGATACGTCAAAATACTATTTAAAGTTGTTTAAATATCAATAACAAAATTATTATAATTCCTTTTAATCAAATTTAATGTAATAGATGTATCAAGGATTGACCTAGACAACGGTTGATAACACATTGTCACCAAATCCATGCTTAAAATACTTTCACAATTGATCATTCAGATATGAAAATCACTTCTCAAACTTTTCGTTTAAATAAAACAACACTTACATAAAAATGAATTTTTTCTTCTTATTTTTTGTGATCTCATCACCTAAATATGACATTATAGTTTTCTTCATCTTGGTGTGATATCTTGTCACTTTATAAATATCATTTCATTTGATAATATTAATTTAAATATTGCGAGTTTATCCGTAAATTAATTATTTTTAATTTAAGTGAACCAACATATTTTTTAATTAAAAAATACTTCATAATTATTTACAAAAACAATTAAATAATCAAAATTAAAATACTATTAAATAAAACAAATTACAATGATAATAAAATAATGCTATTTGAATATCTAAAATCTGTAACGGTTTTTCCAGTACAATATTAAATTATGTAATTTACTATTTATAGGCTTATAGCTATTGATATAATTAAGAGAAAAAGAATTTAAGTTTTTAAACCATGATGTAAAAATAATATTTTTGATAATAAAATATTATACATGCCTTTGGATATTACGAAGTCACATTTGCATGGTGCATAGACTCTCCCACACACAACAACACTCACACACGTACACAACCAACAACAACAGCAATAAACTCACCATTACCGCATCCTCTCCATAGAGAGAAAAATAAAAATAAAAAGAAAAAGAGAGAGAAAAGAAAGCATTATAACAAAAACCGATTATCTAATATCTTCTTCTTCTTCTTCCCAACCGCTCTTTTCTTCTTCCTCTTCTCACAAACCCTAATTTCATTCATCGTTCATCGCTCATCGCCATGCTTTCTTCGTCGTAGTTTCGTTACTTTCCTTTCACTGGAACAAACTCTTCCTTTTTTTCACCATTACGCATTTGTTATTTTTTTTTTTGTTACTGATTCTTCCACGATCGTTACTTCCGTCGCGTTCTCTTTTGTCTCCCTCGTCAATCGTTTCCCGATCCTTCTCGTTCTGCAGCTATACGCGTCGATCTGTAAGTTTTTTTGTTTTTGTATTTTTTTTTGTTGTGTATGTGTGCGTGTGTTTGGATTATTCGTTTCTTCTTCTTTCTTTTTTATGTTTTTTTTTGCGATCGGTTTGGATTTTTGTCAACGATGAGCTAGTTTGATGACGGTTATTCAGTTTTTTTTTTGGTAGACTTTAATTTTTTTGTTCTGTTGTTTTTTTTTGGATGATCGGGTTTAAGATTGGTTATATTCGTTGAGTGTTGAATTGGAAAAGTCAGTTTTGGATTTTTGTGTTTTTGGTGGTGGTGTTGTTAGCAATCTGTGGGGTTTGCAGGTTGGAATTTGTGTAGTTTATTTTGGAGATGGAAGGGTTAGAATCATAACTTCCAGTTTTTGTTAAATAAAGTGTTTGAATTATTGAAAGACCATAATAATATATGAAGCGTGTGTTGAATTTAGAATACAGAAAATGATGGATTTCTCTGTGTGATTTTAGGTACATTGTTTTTGTTGTGGAGAGTATGTATTTTGATGAAAGTAGAATCTTTTTCTTGGTGTCTAATGTCTTTTCAGTATGCTGCTTTCATTATATTGTTATCTGATGTTGAACTGAGGGTTGTTTGATAGATATTTTTTTGAACTTTTTAGTGTGATTTGTAGATGTAGCTAAATATATTTGGTTCATTTTGGAGGTTTTGTTGAAAAAGTTTTCTAGATGAGAATGCCTCGATCTCAGTTTGTTCATTTGCTTTGGTTGTTTTTGTCGCAGAGTCTGTTTTTGGGGTCTATAAGGTGGGCTATGATTTGAATGGGGAGAGGATGCCAGAGTTGAGAAGTGGAGCTAGAAGGTCAAAGCGACTTGGAGATCTTCAGCCTGGTCCTGTACCTGTTGATCAAGGAGAAAATTGGGCACATCCTGAACAGAACAGAGCTAGGAGGAGAGTTGGAGGTGGAAGAGGAAGAGGTGGTAATGCTACAGGTTTAGGGAAAGGGTCTTCACCAGCTGTTCCCACAAGGCGACCTGCAGCTGGTAGAGGCCGCGGAGCAAGATTGATTGATTTGGATCCTGAACCTTGTGAGGTCCTTCCAGAACCCATTGCATTTAGGGCTCAGGAACCTGTTTACAATCACTTAGAGGTAGTGGCTAATAATAACATTGTAATGGAGGGTGGAAGTGGTGATAAAGTGGCAGCAGCTGAAGAAGAGGCAACCACAACCCCTGTCCCTGAGAGGGTATCTTTTTTATTGCATGTTGCTTCTCTTGCATTGCCTTATTTCATTTCAAAGATATTGCTGCAAATTTGTTTTAATAATGTGATTATTAGTTGTATCATTTATTACATTTCTTAGTGATTGGGCTGTTTCCATAAAAGTTTTTAACATATATCAATCAATTGGGCTGTTCTGGAATTTTCAGATGGTACAGGAGAATTTGGTTTTTGCATTTTGTATAAATAGCGTCTGTTATTTTTTGGTTCACCTGTTCATCCACGAATTAGTTATTCTAGACTGCATTGTGGTTGTTGTTATTAACATCCAGTTGATATAGATTTGGTAGTATCTTATTTTATTCAAACACTCTTATTTATGCAGGTGCAAGTTGGTAACTCTCCTGTATATAAGACAGAGAGGAAGTTGGGTAAGGGTGGTTTTGGCCAAGTGTATGTTGGCAGAAGGGTTAGTGGGGGCTCTGATCGAACAGGTCCTGATGCTATCGAGGTATTACTAAGACATTCAAACTCTCCCCCCTCCCTGTCCCATTCTATGTCTTTTAGATCCAATGAAATATTAATAACACTGGGATGATACATTACCATTTTCTTATTTAACTCTGTTTAAAGGTGGCACTCAAGTTTGAGCATAGAAACAGTAAAGGCTGTAATTATGGGCCTCCTTATGAGTGGCAAGTTTACAGGTACCAACAATCTGTCCATATATGAAAAGGCTTACCAATAATCCAATTTTTAAGCGTTCTCAAGTGCTTTAATTTTATTCTATCCAATTCTCACTTTTGTATTTTTGGCATTGGTAAGTACTCTGAATGGTTGTTATGGCGTTCCCTGGGTTCATTACAAGGGTCGACAAGGAGATTTCTACATTTTGGTGAGTCTTCACCTTCCCTATATCAGCTTATGTTGACTGGCTCTTTGTTCTAAAGAAAAACATATTATTTCAGGTGATGGACATACTTGGGCCAAGCCTTTGGGATGTCTGGAATTCTCTTGGTCAATCGTAAGATTTAGACCATTTGTTTCATTATATAGGTTCACTTGGTGTAACTGCGAACTCTTTAAGTTCGTTCCATCTTGGCTCCTCTAAACTCTTAGCATCTTGACAGGATGTCACCAAGTATGGCTGCTTGTATTGCAGTTGAGGCTATATCAATTCTTGAGAAGCTCCATATGAAAGGGTAAATCCTTTTTTTTAAAGCTTTTTAGAGTCAATAGTAATGTTCCCATTTGTTATGACTAGGTTACGGGTGATTACATTTATAAATGAGATTTGTATCATCATTAAATTAGGTTTGTGCATGGAGATGTAAAACCAGAAAACTTTTTGCTTGGTCAACCTGGAACGGCTGATGATAAGAAGTTGTATCTTATTGATCTTGGTTTAGGTATGTTGCATTTCCACTGAGTTTTATTTTTCTCTCTATCTACCCATAGGCTTTAGTTATTTGGAGTTATGCCATATTTTAACCGTGCATTCATGTCAATACCATGTGTGTGTGTTGTCTTCAGCTTCAAAGTGGAAGGATGCATCATCTGGTCAACACGTTGAATATGACCAGAGACCTGATATATTCAGGTTTGTAGATGTTTTGAATTTAACATGATTTGCTTGTGTTTACAAATTACATATTGATACATTGTTAATATGTCCCTTTTTGTGCAGGGGGACGATAAGGTATGCTAGTGTGCATGCACATTTAGGTAGGACTGGCAGTCGAAGGGATGATCTTGAGTCACTAGCATACACGTTAATATTTCTCATAAAAGGGAGATTGCCGTGGCAGGGTTATCAGGTGTGTTTGTAGTATCTCATCATGTATAGATTATTGCTTGCTTCTTGGAGGTTTCATCTTATATGGCATGATTTGTTTCATTTACCCCAATCTACAGGGTGACAATAAAAGTTTTCTTGTTTGTAAGAAAAAAATGTCCACTTCTGCGGAGTTGATGTGCTGCTTTTGTCCCGCTCCATTTAAGCTGTTCCTGGAAGCAGTTACAAACATGAAATTTGACGAGGAGCCAAATTATTCCAAGCTCATATCACTCTTTGACAGCTTGATCGAACCATGCACTCCATTGAGACCTATTAGAATTGATGGAGCTTTAAAGGTTATTTTAACTGCCGTTCATATTTATTTGAGGGAAGTGCTGCATTGATTATTATTTATCTGAATGCTAAACCTTATATATATAGGTTGGTCAAAAGCGAGGAAGGATGCTTATAAATCTGGAGGAAGATGAGCAGCCTAAGAAAAAAGTGCGATTGGGGAGTCCCGCTACTCAGTGGATATCAGTGTATAATGCACGCCGTCCCATGAAGCAAAGGTAATCAGTCTATCTAACTTCAATATGTCGTCTTCTTAATGGCGCTGTTATATACTATGTTGTAATGTGATATTTTCTTTCTCAATGTTTGTTTTTGTTTCTAGTTTTGCTTTGTAGCTATGGCTTTCTTCTCCATGGTTTTGGTTATTGGTCATTGGTAATTCAACCTTCATCTTTACTTTTACATATTGTGGCTCCACAATCTGGGATGTATTACTCTCATAATAAACTGATGCCCAGAGTTCTCCATCTGCTTTGTTGGGCTATGCATCACATTCCCTTCAAAGGGTTATCATTCACAAGAACAATCCCGTGCATCTGCATCAACCAATGTAGCATATGCTTAAGTATAAAAATGTTACTCCGATAAATGTAGCATATGCTTAAGCATATAAATGTTAGACTTCCCCAAATGAGACTGTGATGCATGATCATCTGCTGCCTCATTCGAGATCACTGCTGCATACTCCATTTCTTTCGAACTGTTGTCTGGCAGGTTGGATCAGTTTGTTAGGAACCCAGGAGAGGGCAATGAAGAATTGATAGAAACAATCAGACAAAATGAACTATTTTATTGATTACATAGAATAATGTTTGATAGATGCTTCTCCATGAATTTCTATTTTACGACCTGGCCACTGTTTTTCTGATGTAACAAATCTCCACCCCCCTTTCTATCCGAAATTCTATTACAGCTAAACCATCCATGAATCATATCCTTCTAACCTCTCTTAATCTCTACTAATGATTATACTGGTATGACTGCCTATAACTAACCATTTTATTCGGGAATATCTAACATCTACTAATTTTCAAATTTGTTAACTAGTTTAATTGACGTACCTGATCTTGAATTTATAGATTTTGATTGAACATTGTGCTTATCTCATGACAATGCTCTAAAAAATAATTTAAACATAGTAATGCTGTGTAATTGCTAGTGCATGGTAAGGGATCTGTCTCTAAAGGAGTGTACTGTACAGGCAATTGATTGCCCATTGTATATTTGGATGTGTTGCTTATTCACTTAGAAGTAGTCTCTCTATTTTGCTTGGTTTAAGTAACACTTTCTTGTGTTGCAGATATCATTATAACGTAGCGGACAATAGGCTCGGGCAGCATGTAGACAAGGGTATTGAGGATGGGTTGTATATAAGCTGTGTGGCCTCTTCAGCAAATTTGTGGGCTCTAATCATGGACGCAGGAACAGGTTTTTCTTCCCAGGTTTACGAGTTATCACCTGTCTTCCTGCACAAGGTTGGCCTTTTCTTTCCCTGATCCCTATATTTCATTTTCTACAAACAAAACTTTATGAATGGAATAATTGATGTTTGGCTGCTGCTATTTTGATGATCCCCCAGGATTGGATTATGGAGCAATGGGAAAAAAATTACTATATCAGTTCAATAGCTGGTGCAGTTAATGGCAGTTCCTTGGTTGTCATGTCCAAAGGTTTGATCATTACACTCTTTTGCAACATTTATAGATTTATGGAGGAATTGTAGTATCTTGCCTATCATTGTCACTAACCATCACCGTTCCACTTTTTTTTTTCCTTCTTATTGCCTGTCATTTTTATGTACTATTTATTATTGAGGTAATGTTGTACATTGCCTACTATTACCACCACCTTTGCCATTCGTGCCCTAGTCATAGATATTTTTCGATGTTTTTTTTTAAAAAAAAAATTTTCTGAGTGGTTTGTCTCTACTGTTTTTTCTTTGTTCTTTTATGGGTGTGATGCCATTTAAGTTGTGTGAAGAGAAGCACTGCAAAGTTCTAAAAATAGACTGCAAGTGTTTGCCATCTTTATACCAATTTAAGCGCTACCTTGTATTAACATGGGGATGACAAGGTTCATAGGTGCAATCTGGGACTCATTTGGTCCTTTAATGAAGCCTGACCTAAATTTTCTCAGGTTCTAAGACATTGTATACATTTTTATGGAATTACAAAATTATTTTAAAGAAAAATTGATTCTCTCCATGCTCAATCTGCTTTCACAGTTATGTGATTCAATTTCTACCTAGTTCATTTTGGAGACATGCGATAGTCTTGGCATAAATGAACCAATGAGACACACTTGTAAACAACTTAATTAGTTTTAGAATTGACAGAACTTTCAAATTGTTTAATCAAGGGGGGTGCACCTGTCTTTACCTTGTTTAACTTCTCCGGGATGAGAAAAACATTGACTATTCTTCGAAATATACGACTCACTGTTTATCATCTTAAGGTAGAGTCTTTGCTGTGCAGGAACTCCTTATACACAGCAGTCCTACAAAGTGAGTGATTCTTTTCCTTTCAAATGGATAAACAAGAAGTGGAAAGAAGGATTCCATGTTACCTCCATGACTACTGCTGGCAGCCGCTGGGGTGTTGTAATGTCCAGAAACGCAGGGTATTCTGATCAGGTATATAACCTTTTTAACAATGATTTTTGGTCATGTTTGGATTTTTTAACAATAACATACTTAATATCTCATTTGGTGATTCAAGGTTGTGGAGCTTGACTTTTTGTATCCAAGTGAAGGAATTCATCGACGATGGGAAAATAATTACCGGATTACTTCTATGGCTGCTACTAGTGATCAGGCAGCCTTCATACTGAGCATACCAAAACGTAAATTACTTGATGAAACTCAAGAGACTCTGAGAACATCTGCTTTTCCTAGCACCCATGTAAAGGTATAATTGCATTCATTGTTCCCTATTATATGTTGAGATTTGTGCAGTTTTAGCATGCCTAGTGTTTGGAACCCCATAGCATGCCTGAGTATCTGGTGGGTACTGATATTAATTGTACCTTAAGCAGTTTGTATGGGGTCCTTTTCCCTTGTTGAATCAGCCAAGTGACTTTTCTTTTATTTGGGATTGCTTGTTGATGGAAGGAATAAGGGCTGGGAAAGGAGTATAAGAACAATTTCAATTCTTCCCCTTGACTGTCTTCTGTGGTGTGAAGTCCTCACTGTCTTCCGTGTCACTGCTATTCTTCACCTATTCTTTTTTCTGTCTCACAACTTAGTAACATCTAACTTGATTGTATTTTTTCCTGTCTTCCAATATTAATTGTTAATCATAGTCGAGCATATGATTGCTCATTGTTGGGAATAATCAGTTAAATCTCTTTATGTGATTTTAAAATCCTGATTTGTAGCCTCATGTCTGAATTTTCTGTGGTGTGATACTGCTACTATCTCTTTGGATTTTTTCATCACCAAATATTAATATCCTACTTGATGATTTTGCAGGAAAAGTGGGCCAAAAATCTCTATATTGCCTCGATATGTTATGGGCGAACTGTTTGCTAGCTTCTGCAGTGAACATTTGCTATATCCTTTTGGAAAGATGGGAGGATTTACCCAATTAAAGTTGGGGATGGGGTAGGTTTGATTTTACCTCCAAACCCAGTCTCTGCCCAAAAGTTTTCCCATATAAAAAATGCGTTATAATTGTATAAAAAAGAAAAGGTAAATGAGAAACAGAAGCGATCTATGCGTGAGATCGTGTTCAATGGGAGCAATGATTTGTTGAATAGTATAACATGTTAAAGGGGCTGGCTATTTTGGCCATGTTTCATGGTTGTGCTTAAAAAAATTATTACGATTTTGTTTGTAATGACATAAATTTTTATCAACTTCATCAATCATAAACATAAAATAATGAATTCTAAAGCTATAATAGTTTCTAGATTTGAAGACTATTTCTCCAGTTTTGACTACTGGTTGTCAGGGTTCACTATATATGCCCGACATCTACGCAAGGACAAGGTTTGGGTCTTTCTCTTTCTTACTTTTCTCATTCCATCATTTTTCTAATATTTATTAATATTTTATCCCATAAACCAGCAAAATTGCACTAAAGTTAGTGTGACTTTCCCGCCAGAAAGCCACCTAAGCCATTTCACAACGCAACATGGGCCACTTATAATAATGATTAAAAGGCATTTTTTTTAATAAGCAGTTTACGCGATCGTCATAAAATGACTAATTCATCTGTTTTAAGTCTCTTTCCGGCAGTTTTACTCCTAATCTCTTTTTAGCATGACGATGACAATTAGGGGTGTTCACATATACGTACCGATACAAATAGCTGCTGACATTTAGGGGTGTCACATATACATATTGTATGTGATATTAGTGGTATTTTGATGGAATGATCTTTTGTTATAAAATTGATTCTCGCTGGTGTGTGGTTTGGGCTTGAGCATGGAGAATTTCTTATTACACCCTATATATCCTATATAGGTGAAAAGAACTCAGACGCACCTTTCACGCCAAACGCGATCAAATGTGGTGCCATACATAGTGAAATTAAGAAAAGTTTTGGAATATATTTTTGGAAGTATATTATAATTAATTGATTTAGAACCATTACAAGATGATTGGAAATGTATCTTTAGTAAGTTGTAAGGAAAATTGAAATTTCTGTCACCTTTGCAGGTTAGATATTTCTAGAGATGTATTTTTGAAAAAATCAAAAGTCAAATTATTAAAAATAACAACTTTTATTTATAATAGTTTCTTTAAACCCTCTCTAAAAATTATTTTATTCTCAATCAAGTTTTTACTCTAAATTTTCATTCTTGTGTTTCATCATATCAAAATGAGTTAAAGGAAACAGAATTTAAGATAAAGTTCATTCATTTCAATTCTCATTCATTACATTAATATGGTTTTTGTGACATTGAGATGCGAAAGAAGTGAAAAATATAGATCCCTTCTTCAGAATTTGAAACGAGATGAAATCAATTTAAGAAAATATTAATGTCTACTTAAGTTGTGTGGTTATCGGTTAACAAATAATAAATGGAGATTTAATGTGCAGGTTAGATATTTCTAGAGATGTATTTTTGAAAAAATCAAAAGTCAAATTATTAAAAATAACAACTTTTATTTATAATAGTTTCTTTAAACCCTCTCTAAAAATTATTTTATTCTCAATCAAGTTTTTACTCTAAATTTTCATTCTTGTGTTTCATCATATCAAAATGAGTTAAAGGAAACACAATTTAAGATAAAGTTCATTCATTTCAATTCTCATTCATTACATTAATATGGTTTTTGTGACATTGAGATGCGAAAGAAGTGAAAAATATAGATCCCTTCTTCAGAATTTGAAACGAGATGAAATCAATTTAAGAAAATATTAATGTCTACTTAAGTTGTGTGGTTATCGGTTAACAAATAATAAATGGAGATTTAATGTGACATGTAGTTTACATAATCATGATTTATGTGTAAAATTAGCCGGTTTTATTCAATTGCATGTTGGCTCTTGTCGGAAGAGAAGGAATGTGTTTCTGACATGACAGTGAATTTGATATCTCTCAAAAACATACTTGCAATTTTGAAGAGCAAAAGACTCGAGAATATCTCAAATATCAAGCAAGTTTATAATAGTCGTTATCAATCTAAATTAGCACACTTAAGGGGGTTGAACTGAAATGCAACACCTTTTAAAATTTCTAGATGATAATAATTATGTTTCTAGGCGCCAGAGATGTGAGGATGAAGTAACAGTAAGAGATATATATTGGATTCATCTTGATTCTATTAAATTGTTCAATATGTTTTCCATTGTATTTATAATTGATTTAACGTATAAGACCAACAAATATAGGTTTCCATTGTTGGAAATTGTTGGTGTTACGTCTACTGAGAAAATATATTCTATTGGTTTTGTATTTTCAGAGTATCAAAAAGGTGATAATTTTGCATGGGTTCTAGAGGTTTGTTGGCCAATGTTGAAGGACCAAGAAGATATGTTGAAAGTCATTGTTATCGACTGCGATACCGGATTAATGAATTTGGTTGTAACAGTATTTTTGATTTCTTATGCATTACTTTGTAGGTACCACATTACTAAGAACATGAGAAGTCAGGATAAATCTGCGGTAGGGACAAAAATGATAGACGTCGAAGATGGAAAACTTTTCAAAGAGTTGTGGAGAAAATTATGGATACATGAAAGTGTTATAATAAATGCATCTATAAAAGAGCTATATGTTGATGTTATATATTTCAGGAAAGTGTGTGTGAAATAACATGATTTACTGAAATATGTTGAAAACATAATTTTGGACCAGATAAAGGGGAAGATTATTTGTGCTTAGACCAGTCATGTTATGCACCTTAGAAATACAACAACAAACTGAACTGAGTCGACTCATGCTTGTTTGAAGAATTGGTTGGAAAATAACAAGGGTGATTTGTGTGCGGATTGAGAATCTGTGAACCAAATGATACTAAACTTGCACAATGAGATATAAACGTTATTTGGTCGTAGTATCATGGTTTTGGAACACAGGTTCAAAGAAAACACTCTATGTTCTCAGTTGGTCGATAACATATCTCGATCAACTCTGAATTATATATTTCACGAAGTCAAACAAGTTGGTAATTTAGGTTCACATAACTCAAAACGTGGTTGTATACTTGTGAAAACCTATGGTCTTCTGTGTATTTGTGTTATATCTAAGAAGGTGAAACTTGATAGCCCGATATGAATGGACGAAGTCTGTAGTCAGTGGAAGAGGCTCAATTTTGATGATGACGATGTTATGAAAGACGGTGAATTGAATATCTCCCATCTTGACGGAATGAGAAGCGATAAAAGAAAGATTTTTAAAAGTTGATGACAACACGAAACTCAACATCAAAGAGTAATTGAGGAATATTGCATTTTCAGAGATCAGTGACTTGAAACCATCCTCTCAACTGGTAAAAACTAAGGGAGCACCTAAGAAGATCAAACCTACACTGACTGACAACTCAACAATGAGGAGTCCATCATATTTTGAATACATTGACAAACTTTTTTCCGATTCTCTGACTCTGAAATCTCAGGAAAAGTGTTTTCTAAGGAGGCCGAATTAGCAAACTACTTTCTACACCGCCTCCATCAAAAATATCATTCATCGAGGAGATGCCAGTTTTTATGTATAATTACATTGAACAGATCGTCAATGTCAGGACTGACAATAACTGTGGTTTTCGGGTTGTGTCTGTTTTGCTCGGTAAAGGGGAAGGGGATCACACATTTGTCCGTCATACCCTTATCAAAGAGTTGAGGAACAATAAAATTATACACACAGGTGTTTGGAAATAAAGAGAAAGTTGAATAAATTTATTACGCTCTTGTACCTTGCATTAGTGGACATGCACCAGAGGATAAATGAATGTGTTTTCTTGAGATAGATCATATCATAGTAAGTGCATATAAGTGTGTGTATTGATCTTACAAGATACAATTTTTCAGAAACTTTTTCCCATTGTGCACTGCTCCACCACTAAATCCCAATGATCGTATCATCTATGTTAGGTGGGTTTCAAATCCACGACGTTTACTTCAAGTGTATTTGAAACTGTGATGCCCTATACTACTTATATCACCAGAGTGAACAACTCATTATATAATCCAATTCAAGAATTAGGCGGACCAATTTATTGAAAGGATGCAAGAGAAGACCAAATTGAACAATATTGAAATAGAAAGAAAAAAAAAGTTAAAGGGGGTACCACCTGTAGATTTGGATGGCGATAGTTATTTCGGTTTATTTAAGTATTTATTTATTATTATGATATTTTGTTAATGTGTTATGATGTCTGATATTAGCATTTTGTAGTTTGACCAAAAAAATCCAGCATTCAATACAAGTTTTGTTTCTGTTCCGTTTTCTGATACCAGGGAAGTTTTCAAAAGTACATCTCCGAAATAAACAAATAAAGGGTGTTTCCGGAGTTACATCTCTAAAACTTTCTTTGTCACAAGATAGAGTTTGTGTGGTCCATATTAGTATCTTACTACTATAAATAAGCTCACTTCACTACTACAAAACGCGTAAACAACAACGCCATGGTCATCACGGTTCTTCCCTACACTGTAGTGACATCTCTAAACTAAGGCGTTACCATATTATTTTTTATTTTTGATTAAAATTATTTGTATATAATAACGATTGAGGAGCCAACCGTGGTGATACCATCAAGCTTTCATAGGTTCGAACCTCAGCGTCGTCATATATATTATTCTTTTAATGTTAAAGCGCGCCTTTTCTTTTTTATTTATTTTTAAATAAAAAAATTAAAGGGTTATGACTATGATTGGTATATTTAGACAAAGGCAAAAATAAATAAGTCATATCAAAAAAGTTATGTAGACAAAGGCAAAATAAATAAGTTATATCAAAAGCCTCAATAGATCTCAAGCAGGTGTCAACATAATGAAGACATCAAATACATGCTTAGGAAAGTTATCCCAATTTAGTAAGTAAACTTTTGAAAAAGCAAAAATTCTTTCTTTACAAGTA